TGATATTGCCGAGATCACTTGTCGGTGTCAGGGATGCGTTCGGCGATGAATTGGCAGCAAAAAACACGCTCCCAGGAGAAAAGTATATACTATCATGTACACCGTCAGGTGTATGAATATCCTGCTCTTTGTCGGACATATTGAAAACTGAGCGGTCGCGAAAGTTCTTGTCAAGCATACATAGAAATCGTATCGACAAAAATCGATTTTCGCGAGTAGAATGGGGATCCTTGGGCTGAAAGCTGAGCTCGTTGGTGATTCTCGTTGCGACATTGAAATCGCAGAAATCCATCTAATTGGACAACATAATCGATACAATCGATACAAGCGCTCGCTTGTACCAGGAGGTGGCGACATATCCTGAAGCTCCCGAAACGCGCCACAATATAAAACGCGATTGTCTATCTTGTCAGTTGTCTTGTTAAATGCGAAAATCGGTCGAATAAATTTCATATATCGTTTATTTTCTACAATAATGACATAATTCAAAAAAGAAAGTTTTCAAGAAAATTAATTTTAATGTTCTGAATTATTAAAATTTTATAATATTAATTTTACAATGCAATTTTTATGTAATAATTGATAATTTATTGTAAAGAAATAAGAGTATATATTAAGTATATATTAAAGTATTTTTTTTCTTTCTTTTTTTACAAGCGACTAAAAAATTACCATTTTTGAGTTATGTCATTGTTGTAGCAAATGATCAGTGATTAGTAAAATCTGAGACAAAATTGTACGGACAATAAGAGAAAATAGGAATTAAGCGATTTCATGTATTCATTTCTGGTATATATACGGTTTCTAACAGATTAAAAAATCTCTTATTCTTCATTTCTATTGTCTATACTTTCCAATTGTGCTTAACATTGGATCCAGAAATTTGTCAAGAGAGAGGCCATTAATGCACTGCAAATAAAATTTTTTTATGGTCAAATATGAAGAGATCAAATTATTATTTAAATTATTACATTGAAAAAGTATTATTTAAATGTATAACTTAAAAACGTTTCATTTAAAATTATATTAACACAAAAGAATAATACGAAGAAATCTATAAGGCGCCGCGCTGCGCGACGTTGATAAACAACAAACGCTGACATAAACAAAGTTATAAGAACGCAATAAAAATTCGAAATAGATATATATAAATATATGGATTATATACGTTGTGTAAGCAGGATAAGTATTAATTATTAAGCAAAGAGTTGTAATTGTATTCATAAAAGTATAAAATAAGAGACAACGCAGTCCGCTATTGCCAGTTGCGATCATTTTCAATTTTCTCGAGTCATTTCCACGAACTACATAAGTTCACTAAAACCGCTATCTCTAGAATTGGTTCGTGATGGTTGAAGCACATTGTTTCTTATTCTTCGATTCCTGTTGGATGCCATTAGTAAGAAAGTCACCTCGGATACATATATTTTCTCCTATACATATTTATTATCTCGTCATCTTTCTTTTTCAATCATAATATATCACGGCATCTATTTTACCTCGTAACTTGAAGAATCTTCTAACTCGCTATTCGAAAGCTGTTCGATCATTTCTTGCAATTGCGGTTTTTGTGCGTCCTGGAACAACATGCGATCCTCCGCTGTGCTGTATTTTTTACAAGTGCTGACAAACGGCTTTGGACTCGAGAAGCATATATCCAAACATTTCTTAGCCTTGATAGGAATTATGACGTTGCTGTTATCGCCGCAATAAAAATTAGGCGAGGGAATGCGATTCTTCGATGTTAGCGAGTCGCTGGACAAGTCCTCAGACGTTATCAAACTCGGCATGTTCATCATTCGCATGATCTTGTCGATCGCGGGACTTACGTTATTCCGATATTTCGGCAGTGTATAATCCATCTTCGAGACGCACGACGGAGTGGATGCTTGCGAATCATTATCTTGTTCACTTTTGTCTATTTCGGACCTAATTTCCGTCTCGTTTTTAGATTCCAATAAATGGTCAATCACCGAACGATAATAGTCACTCATTGCAAACAAGAAATCGCGTAAATGGAGGAACTTTTCAAAGATCCTAATTTAATCAAAGTAATCCTGATAAAACGTGTGCTTTTTATTTATTACGTTATAATTTTTTAATCATAGAGAAAGTAAATAATACGTGATTGCCTCACCTTAAATCGTAGATAAAAATCTGAACGTTAAAATTTTTAAAACTTTCGTTTTATAGAACTTAAATACACACAATGATATTTGAAATAGCTACAGCAGTACTGCCAAAGGGCAAAAATGTATATCGACTATAAAGAACTTCTACTAATTAAAAATAAAGAAAATATGAATTCACTATTGCCATCTAGTTTAACTTACTTTCGAAAATGCTCGATCGCGATTGATCGATTCCCTAACTGATTCCTTAACATAAATTTTTTCGTTTTTATTTCGTCCAGTTTTATTGCCTTATTAGATCGGAGGTACGGAAAAATTGAACCAGTGAACGGATCAATAAAAAAAATTGAGATTGAAAAAGTAAAGTTAAATCGAGAAAAATCCTGAGCTATGATTGGACGAGTTGCTTATTTTGTTTAAGTTTGTTGAGATATCTATTTCATGCATTTAAAATAAAATAAAATAAAACAACTGGCATCTTTACGTTTCACAAGCAGTATCGCAATAATATTAATATAAGATGGAAATGCATAAGAAAAACACATAGAAAAAGATTATTTAACATGATTAAGTATGTATCACACATTTTTATTATGTGTTAATATAGTTTTATTAAACAATATTTTTATAGTCTATTTACTTTATCTATTATTTTTTTAATTATTTTTTGTCATAATACTAAAATTGAAAAAATAAAAAATATCAAAATATTAATTTTTTATCAAAATGTTTGAAATATTCAGAACGATTTATGTAAAGTTTCATTGCGATGCAGAAATTTATAGTTGTTCTGTAAATAAACAAATAAATAAATTTTGTTTATTCTCATAACAACTAATCTGTGTATCGCAATGCAATTTTACATAAATCATCTTCAATACTTATATATAAAAAAAATTGAGATTAGTGTCATTATTTTATAATGTTTTACAATCAGACATTCGCAAATATAACCGAAAATTAATAAAAAAATCTAAGAATCGTCAAGCATTGAATAGACGAGTCTGATGTTCAAAAAAATTCGAATTTTTTTTATTTAAATGTCTATTTACTGTAACAGTGTAACATTTCTAGCCTTTGATCATTTCCTAATCCATTCCTAGTATTTGTTCACGAATGAGAAGTTCACTTCTTTCTCCCTATAAACACACTCGTCATACAGTTCTCATGTGCGCATCCAGCGAAAACCGATGGTGCGATAGAAAACAAGTAATCCATCTCGGCAGCAACTCTGCTTCCATCTATTTTCCCAATGTTGATGAACCACTTACATTCGAATAACTGATTCACCTGGTCAATGTGTAATACTTCTAGTTTTAAAATCCACTGTAAAACGTTAAAAATAATGATATTCTCTCAATATATATTCATCATATTGAAAAATATTTTTCATTATTTATACGTAAGTTTGTCGTTAAATTTAGATTCAAAGAGTCTTTTTATAAGATTCTCGAAGAATAAAGAGAAACGAGTAATTGCATTTCGATACTTGTCTATTCAGATAGGATGCAAAGCGTTCCTTAACTCGTCTTAACGTTTCACCGCAGAGTTTATCGACTACGCGCGGTTATGCGAATAATCCAGCGGGATGTAAGCGGATACGAAATTCTAAGGAAGAGGTATAAATGCATTCCGAGATCGGAGGACAAAGCAAGAAACTCTCCCGTAGAAGAGCGGGTAACCACTTTTTCAAGACCTTTGATCTCTCACGGTACCGACGGCATTACGCTCGAAATTAATTCCCCGCGGTTTGAACACAACTAATTTGAATATTCAATCTAGGGAAAAGCTCGGGTAACCGATAGTTCCGAAAGTCGATACCTGGTAACTCGGTCGTCGCGAAAACTGGGGGAAACGTTCAATCAAGACTTATACCGTATATACGTATGTACAACGGACAATGCTTTTACGTCGCGTATCTGCGAGAGGATAGCGATCAACATGGGCGAGACATATAGACGTATGACCGCAAGGATATTAATTACGTGCCCTAAATTACTCGAGTTCTCCCTCCTAAATAATGTCGCCACGAACTGCTTTAATATCGTATAACAACGCTGCACAGTACAGTCTTGATACTGGATATTAAAGTGCCAAATCTAATCGACTCCAGTGCATTGCTTCATCGCACATGCGATCGCAACTATATCTGACCGTGCAGTTGAAGTCTTTATCTCCTAAAAGTTGGTGTATTCGTCACAGTTACTATTTAAGCAACTATTCATAACAATGAAACAATACCTGAGGATTGATTATAAGTAAAAATATAATATTTACGTAAAAAATATTTATAGTTTATTTATTATTTTTTATTCTTATAATACTTTAATTCAAAATACGATGACAACAATTTCAATTCTTTTACAAATATTTTTTACAAATAATCAAAATTTGTGCAAAGTTTTATTGCGATTCACTGATTAGTTATTGGGTAAATAAATAAAGTTTACTTTTCACTAAACTTTATTTATTTACAAAATAACTAATCAATAAATCGCAATAAAACTGCAAATAATCTTATATATATAATTACTTAAAACATTTATTTAAAAAATGAAATTTCGGATATCATTTTTTAGTGAAATATTATAACAATAATAAATAACAAATGCAATAAATAAACTATATACAAAAATGCAAAAAATAAACTATTAAAAATTATATTATATAAATATAGATATTCACATAACTGTTTCATATGTATACAATTTTAGTACTTATTTTTATAGAAAAAGTTTAAATATTAATAAATTTCAAATTTTTAAGTGCTGAATATGCGCTAAAGTTGATTATATAATCAGCACTGGACAACATCTTATCCCGTATGCTTCGTATGACAATATCATGGTCAATGTCATCATATAAAAGAAATTATTCATTATATTATTTAGCTTCTCGTTCCTCATATTCTAGAAAACGGTAATAATTCTTTCCTTGTTTCACTGTAAAATAATAAGATCTCCAATATAAAAATAATAAAAGATCGGTTATTTATCGTCGTTTTCTCAGAAATAAAAGAAATATTCACTCGCTTACTTCGTTTTAATAGACCGTTACAGTGAATGCACTTTTAATGTTGATTAAAAGTTTTTGTCGATGTATTAATTTCCAGGATTCGAGAATCAAATGTGATTGCCTCGCCATGTGTTTGACAGAGTGAAAGAGGAACAGGGGAAACTATGTCACACGCAAACTCTAGGAAACGACGAAACGGCTGTATTTATTTAACATCGCGAATATTACGAATATATCTGAACGATATTACTTACAGCGAAGTAATTACATTCGATGTTATTGTCGTAATTACAAACTCAACTGTTGTACAACAATAAGCCTCTAACAAGCAATTTGCCATCAACGCAAAATGGTGAAATGATAGCGTCGATCATTTGCGCAAGCATTTGGAGTGAAATGAAAATATGAAAGCTTTCTGTAATTTTGTAAATTAACAGAGAATATTACTACGCTTGGAGAGAGCACCTCCAATTAATGACTGTTTTGCATGTGATGCTCAACTATCCAAATCGCCAAGTATTTCGATAAAGAAACATGGTTTTCAGAAAAAATATTCACGCGAACAGAAATTGAGGCACATTCGCGCGTTTGAGTTTTTAATTGGATGCAAAATTGCAGAGGGATTACTAGGATGCTTTGTTTTCTTTCGCTAGATCGAAACGCATACAAACAGTTTGCGTGGAATTTCCGCATGTAAAGTGGAGTATAGAAGTTCGTTCAATGGAACGAGTGTTGAGCGTAACCCGTCAACCGATGACACGACGATTGGTACACGTAATCCTTTTAGAATCTCATTACGTGATCGTGAACAACGTATGATTAGGCATTAGATGTTTATTATCGTTTTGCATTACATTGCAAATGACTGCAATCGTTTTTGTGCATCTGAATCATTAATAGAAATCCGCTTTGGGAAAAAGATACTCTCTCTCCCTCTCTCTCTCTCTCCTAAAAAGAGGATTTCTATAAAATAAAAATATAAGTGGGACCATTCGCGATTCTTTGTCTTACTTTTAAAATACACGATTTTTTTATAGTTTTGTAATAACTGTAAAGATATCTATGAAAAGTATACTGGATACGTTTTTGTATCCTCTAGTGTTCGTTCCTCCGTGGCGGCAATTTGAAATTTTTAATCGTCCGCGACCTGAAGTCTTCGAATCAGAGCAGTGCATTCACGCGTAAAATATAAAAAATCCACAATATAAACTATTATATGTAAACTATGTCTTACGTGTCATCTAAATGATCTATGGATCATCGAAGCGTTATTTGTCGTTGCACTATTATTATATAACGCTACATTCAAAGAATAATTGGTACATTGAAATAAAGAATAAAATTCTTATTTACATCGTTACGAAATCGCTATCAGATACGCTATCAATCATTTAAAAATTAATTCAGAGTTACATCAACAACTTCAAATTAATTTTGAATTGAAGCACAATTGATAGCAATTTCGTAATGATGTGAATGAGGATTTTATTCTTTATTTCAAACCAATCTAGCGTTATTATTATGATAATTTTCGATTTCCATGAAGAAAAATACAGAAAAAAATGTAGAAATAAAATGAACGGTTGCGAAACAGTAAAAATTATACCATCCTTTAACGTAAACAATACGTAAAAATTTCATGTAAACACAATCTTGAAATATACATACGACAAAACTCTGCTTTGAACTTCAGTGCAGATTTTTATATTATTCCGAACTGTATAAAAATCTGAAAGAATTCTTACATATTTGTGAGAGCTTTAACAACGAATTTTCACTATCATAGAAGTTGGATTGTATTTTACTTATTTTTTAGATAATTTATCTATCAGAATTCACAACCAGAA